TTCAGGCCCACTTTTAGCCTGTTGCTTCCAGGCCCTGGGCACTGGCAGTGTTTCCTCGTTCGGTGTGGTGCCGGCTGGCTTAATTGTGGCCTAGCCACCTAGAGTGCGGTGCCAAGGTGAGTTGGGTGGGGGACCATCACATCCATACTGGATTAAAAGCAATGGTCCTTGCAATTAGTCTAAGTCTCCAATATCAGTAATTAATAAAACCTAAACATTATAAAGCAAATTGAAAGGAAAACTGATAGAATATCAGTTATTCTATCAGTTATTCCAGAATATCTTCTGGAAGGGCTAGACATTTTTAAATCTGCAGGTCCAGATGCCCTCCACCCAAGGGTGTTGAGGGAGCTGGCAGGGGTCATCGCGGAGCCCTTGGCCCAGCTGTATGAGCGTTCGTGGTCATCTGGCCGGGTGCTGGGGGATTGGAAACCGGCTAATGTCCCAATTTTCAAGAAGGAGAGGAAGGAGGACCCAAATATCTATAGGCCTGTAAGCCTCACCTCGGTGCTTGGGAAAATCTTGGAGAGAATCATCAAGGAGCACATCTGTGAGCGGCCAGCAGGGGAGATCATGCTCAGGGGCAATCAGCATGGGTTCATCAAAGGCAGGTCCTGCCAGACCAACCTGATTTCCTTTTTTGACCAAGTAAGTAAATCCTTGGATGATGGTGTTGCCGTGGACATAGTCTTTCTAGACTTTAAGAAGGCCTTTGACACTGTCTCTCACCCCATCCTCATCAATAAATTAAGTGACTGTGGCACTGGTGCCTGCACAGTTGGATGGGTAAAAAATTTGCTGATGGGGCGCACCCAGAGAGTAGTGGTGGACGGGTTGTACTCAACCTGGCGAGATGTGAGCAGCAGTGGGGTACCCCAGGGCTCGGTCCTCGAGCCTTTACTGTTTAACATCTTCATCAGCAACTTGGACGAGGGGGTGGAAAGCACGCTGTCCAAGTTTGCTGATGACACTAAGATGTGGGGCGAGGTGGACACTTGAAGGGAGAGAGAGAGGCTGCAACTAGATTTAGACAGACTACAAAAGTGGGCAGATGAGAATAGGATGGGGTTCAACATAGACAAATGCAGGGTGCTGCACCTGGGGAGAAGGAATCCACAGCATACATACGACTTTGGTCAGGCCGCAGTTGGAGTACTGCGTCCAGTACTGGGCACCGCACTTCAAAAGGGATGTGGCCAGCCTGGAGAGGGTTCAGAGGAGGGCCACCCGCTTGGTGAGAGGGCAGCAGGACAGGCCCTATGAGGAGAGACTGAAGGACCTGAACTTGTTCAGCCTCAGCAAGAGGAGGCTGAGGGGAGACCTGGTGGCTGCCACCATACTCATCAGGAGAGATCAGCAGCAAATAGGCAGAGCCCTTTTCTCCCCAGCACCACCTGGGGTGACAAAGAACAATGGTAATAAGCTGATGGAGAATAGGTTTAGGTTAGAGATCAGAAGGCAATATTTTACAGTTAAGATGGCCAAAATCTGGAACCAGCTTCCCAGGGAAGTGGTCCTCGCCCCTACCTTGGGCAAATTCAAGAGGAGGTTGTATGATCACCTGTCTGGGTCTTGTGAACCCAGCATTCATTCCTGCCTGTGGCAGGAAGTCAGGCTAGATGATCTGTTCAGGTCCCTCCTGACCCTAGCTACTATGAAACTATGAATAAAATTGAAAGGCAAATTGATAGAATGTTTGGTTGATGGAACCAAGTATAGTTAGATCATATAAACCAAACTAATTGCTTATTTTATAAAACTAAGAAATCAATTGAAAGGAAGAAATGTAACACAATAGATCTCATAATCTAGGTGTAAGTAAGATTACTTAAAAACTATAATTCATTTTTAAAATATTAAAAAAAAATGAAATGAAATTAGTTTACTTGTTATAACTTGATAAAGACTGTATAAGCAGTCAATAAAAAGCAGTCCAGGGTTAGTAGATTGCATAGCATTTGTTAAGGTTTTGAGTAGTTGATCGTGCTCACTAATTGCCTGGAAGCAGGGGTACATAATAGCCAGGTGAACATCAGTTTGGAAATATGGAAGTAAATACCTTTCGGGAAAAACTAAATACATTTTAATTTCTTAGGTTAAATCCATTATTCTTAGTTCTGCTTTGCTGTGCCTCCCTTTTTCCTTGCTAATTTGTATAAACTTCTTTTTTCCCTTTTCCCTACCTGTTGTTGTTCAGCCAAATAATATTTCCTCAAAAGTCAGTCCCTTTAGTTGTTGATTTTTGTTGCTTCTCTTGTCTCTCTCCAGTTTGCTGGTATCTTTCTAATCCAAAATTAAATAGAATATTCATTTATAATTGAAATAAAGGTGGTTTTCTGAGGAAATTAGCACTCTGACTTAATTTCTTCACAGACGTCCATTTGACTTTATTAGGAAAGGATAGGACAAACCTGAACTATTTAGTGAATGGGAGAGTGGCAGCATCAAAGAATATATATTTATAAATACAAGCAGATTTCATGCTTCAAATCCTACTTTGGTTCTCTCCATGCCAAAGTTAAAATAATCATGAAAGGCACCAGATGTTTCTTCCCCCACGCCATTTCCATGGAAATAATGAGCTTTTTTGATCAAGCAGAACAAGTAAGCAAAACTAATTCAGGCGAGAGGGAGACTATTCTGAAGGTAACTTGGAACCAATGAAGAAAAGAGGTAACTTAGTGGAACTGGATTACCTTTGTTTAATCCTCTAGTACTCCCTCTCTCTCATTTATTATCATTTCTTCTGCTTGTCTCATAATAGCATATTTACTAAAACAAGGTTTCCCCCCTCCCATTTAACAAGGAATGGAGTAGGAAGAGGTCCCTCTTGGTACAGGGTGGCTGCTATGACTTGGCTGTGACCCTGCCACCTCTGCCCCTCCCTCTGTCCTTGCTGCTTACCCTCCAGCTTTAGCCAGGGGCACAGAGCATGTGGTTTTTCCATCCCCAGCCTAGCCCAGTAATGGTGGCAGAGGCAGCAGCTGCAATCCAGGCTTCAGCTCCCGGGCCCAGCTGGAGCTGCCACCACCACAATAGCTATTGTGTGGTTTGGCTGGGGCTGGGACAGCCTGCTCTGTTCCCCAGGCTACAGCAGGGCCTGAACCAGAAGGGAAGTGGTGGCAGGGGCAGGGGGTGGAGACACTGGGCAGAGTTCAGGTTGCCTGCCTTGCTACCATTGCTTTCCCCACTGCAGCACAGGTTGGGCTAATGAATTTAAGATTACTCTCCAATAATTGGTTTCTGTATATGTAGAATTATAACAAATTTTATACATTTTTCCATGTATATAATCGTGTTATTGGCAGGTTGTCTTGGATTTGGGTAAATATGGTACATATAAAGAACCTCTTAAAATAGCTTCTCTCTCAATGTAGTTTGCTTATAGAAAACGGTAAGATGCAAAATTATTGGTCTCTTAACTAGTTTAAAGCAGACAAAAGCCCATCTCTGACTTGCATAGGAGGCATAGCCTGAAGATTAGATAAATTTTGTCTAGGGCCTGAAGCTCAATACTTTTGAGGTCCTCATTGAAAATGATGATTGTTTGTTCATTTGTTTGTCTTTCCATTGGCTCATGTATTAAAGCTGTTATAATGTATATATCTTCCGGAGGAATTTCAGTGATAACAGGTTTTTCCTTTGCATGCACATTATTTTTCAAACATATTGAGTTCTATAAGTTGGTTAAATCTGTGCTATTACATATATAAAAATGAAAGTAGTGGGGGGCAATGAAAAAACAAGGAATACAAAATGTCATTGGAGATTGAGCAATATGAGTCCCTTTAACGCAGAGATGTTAGCAGAAATGCTTATCTTCTATACCTGGATCAGTACATTGAACAGTGGATAAATCCATCAGATTGCTGTGTTTTATGTGCAGGGTTGTGGAGATGGTAAAGGGGGAGCTCCCATCCGGAGACTGCTCTGTCTTGGCAGTTATTTGTCTGTCTCTTAGATTATCAAAATATGAGTAAGTGTATGGATTTGCTAGTTAGCACTCTCATTCCACAGTGTGTAGGAATCTTCCTCTCTACTGTACTTGAGAGAGCACGATCTACTATTTGATTAGGGGTCTTGAAATAAGCAGATCTGATTTTGATTCTCAGCCTTTTCTACAAAGTTAATGTGATTTCTCCCTCTCCCCCCAAAAAGGTCTTAGTCTATTTATTTTCTGACTTCCAAAATGGTTAGAAGGATGCATATATTGTCTTCGTTTTTTGCTATAACCTTTGATATGCACATGTGATACTTGTGTCATGCTAGTGAAATGTAGTTTTTTGTGTGCCCGAGTACCTGGATACTGGCCCTGCAAAAGCAAGATATTATAACCAGTAGTCCTTTTTGGTATGTTCTGTCGAGCTTGTTGCTACAGAACCTTTTATATGGTATTTCCAACAATTCCATTCAGAGTTTTAGCAGGTTTGGGAACCCAGCTCTGAACCAACTACTGACTGTTTAGAGGCTTTTAACACATTGTCATAGACCTCTTTTCAGGACTGGTCTCAACACAAATGTGTTAAGGCTGTTGGCAGGAAGCATGGGTGGGGCTAGTGAAACTGGCTGCAGTGTCTGATTAATTGACCCCAGAGATGTATGGTAAAAGTGGAGGAATGGTAAGCATCGACTGATATTTTGAAATAGATGTAGATGGCAGAGACCTCCGTTTAGCTGAGTGACAGTGAGAACAAATGGTGGAAACACAGGAACAACAGGAATGCATTCCTTGTAGCAAAGAATACTTTTTTAGCGTCTGATGCATATGCTCATGTAACTGACTTTTTTTTTACCAATATCTATCATTATTTGAATGCTCAAGTAAGTAAAGTTATAGGACAGGGACATACCTAAATTCATCTGAAATCATCTGGATGATTGTTTTGGGGTGGGTGGCAAAGTGGTTTTTTAAAAAAAACAAACAAAAAAACCCAGCACCTACAAACTTTTCTTAAGTGTGTTAATAGATTTCCTGGTTTCTTTTGTTTCTTTATTTTCAGAGCTAAATACCACAAATTAAAATATGGCACAGAGCTGAATCAGGGAGATATGAAGCCTCCAAACTATGATTCCGGTAAGAAGTTAAGGTTGAAATAATTATTTTTAAAGTTCTCTTGTAATTTTACCTACAATTTGTAAAAGATAGCTAGGTGATAATTGGATAGAGTAGTAAACAAAAATGGAATAGACACATGGTGACTAGTCAAGATAGAATGTTTTGTGTTGCTAGATGTTAATGTAGTTTGTCAAAGTAGTTTTTAAAACATTAGTTTCTTGGGGTGGGTTTTTTACAGGGTGGGGGGTTTGATGAGTTTTATCTATATTCTGTAATAGGGCCATCAAATGAATTTGGGTAAAAACGTAAACTGTAGATTAAATGCATTTTAAAATTTAAATTCTGAATTACTTGGGTGTTTTTGTTTTTTAAACTAAGAAAATTCTGGCATGGCAAAAAGTATGGGGGAAATGTATCTTGGGAACTTTATTATTTTGGAAGAATTATTTTGCATTACCAATGTAATATAATTAGTATGTGGTGCATAATGCATTTTGTCTTGATTTACGATCTTTTCAGATTTCCAGAAAAACTGAAAGAAATGCAAATTAGAGATAAATTAAAGGTGTAGATGGATATAACTGGGTTTTTATAAAACTAATAAAAACTGGAAAATATATAACAAGTAGCGAACACTCTGCTAGTATTGAATAACTCCTCACTGGATCTCTGAGGATTATCTCCTCACTGGATAATAGTTTAATTATTCATTTCTCCAGAATATGGACCTCTCGTATAACTAAATAGAATGACTTGGAAGCTGAAGAAAAGGAAGAATTAAAATTTCCTTTTTGTTTTGGTCAGCACAACAAACGTTATTCAAAAGGCCTTTCTTGTCTCTAACCTAAGATCCAGATTTTGGATCAAGTCCTCAAGAAGAAAAAGGAATGAGAAATGATTCTAAAACATTGTTCTCTGGTACAACTAAAAAGCGTACATGAACGTGGTCCCTGCAGACCTCAGCCATGCCATTTGCTGAGGAAAATGTGTCCTAGGATATGGACAAAACTGCATTTTAGCCCCTTTAAAAGAGGAAGGGTAGTAGCTACTGCACAGGAGCATGCATCAGTTATTACACTACAACTGTTAGATTTGCTAAGTCTTGTTATATCTTATGTTATGATAAGACGTCATGATAAGACTTGTTTAGCTAATGAGTTAAATCTCCCTAACTTTGACCCCTGTAGGCAAGTGAAGTGAATTAGGGTTGAAGTGAAAGTGGTCTTGCTGCATTTACATCGCTGTAGGATCAGCCAGAGGTAAACAGTTTAGCGACACAGTTGTTATATCTGCATATGCTGTGGTGATCGGACTTGCATAGCTGTATGCTAAAAAGAGTCTGAAAACATCTGCTTGTCAAATTTGGCATGCAACTTGTCTTTTCCTAAATATATATAAAATGCCTTAGTTCTGAACTTTATTGCAACTTGTTTCTTAACAAGTTAAGGTATTGTGCTCTTATCTGAACTGGAGAAATAGCCCATTGCATTCTTCCTGTAGCTGCCAAAAGATTAGAGGTTTCTGCACCATAAGCATGTACCATCAGAATTGAGCTCCTAATCAGAATAACCCTTGTAGTCCATGATAGTTGTCTTTATTGCGTTAGATGCTTGCCAATCTACATAGGCAGACAAGGTTCCTTGGGTGAATTTGATATCTTTTATTAGACCAACCCAAATGGTTGGAGAATAGTTATTAAGCAAGCTTTTGGGTTCAAAAATCCTTTGTCAGGCTAAGCAAGTTTCTCTTCCTGGAAGAGCACGCACCAACTGCTGAAGCTTCCTTAGCCTGACGAAGGGTTTTTGAACCCGAAAGCTTGCTTAATAACTATTCTCCAACCATTTGGGTTGGTCTAATAAAAGATATCAATTTCACCCAAGGAACCTTGTCTGCCTATGTCCTTAGACCAACACGGCTACAACCTAAACCCCTGTGCCTATCTACATGTTTCTCTTGAAAAGTAGGAAGAACATTGAGGCAAATCTTTACAATACTTCAACCTAAAGTCCCTGTTATTTGGCTTCTGTCTAAAATCTTAGATTCTCTAGTAATTCTGCTGAAAGCACTCTTAATCAGAACAATCCACTTTCTGCATTCTACACAACATCCCCTTGAAAGCCTCATTTGACCTATTTGGCCAGTGGTCCAAGTTTCTTCACTTTCAACTGTAAAGGATAATGGGATTTACTGGGTGGGGGGGAGAGTACAGTTCTATCTTCTGGGGTGTTTATACTTCACATTTAACCAAGGTGGCCTCCAAAGGAAAAGCTTACAGTCTCAGGAGTGGTCATATAGCACAAACTTTTCTTCAGTCTTGATGTTTAATGGTCTTTTACCTATAACAGGCTTTGATAGTTGTAGGGTGGATCCAGCTGTCTTCAGAAAACAATGTATAAACTTTTTTTCATTGCTATTCCTGGACAGACTTATAGATTCAAGGTCACAAAGTACTTAACATACAGATGGAGTACTTTATACATAAGTGCTATATAAATGTCAATTAATTCTTGGTCCCTTTGGTAAGTAAAAGTATTAATCCCACTCTTGAAAATGGAAATCTCAAAGATGCATATCAAATCAGTGGTTAACTGGGATTATAAGGTAGAAACTTTTGGTTGTCTAGTTATATTTTTACAGTGTTACTCTGTTCTTCCTTCAGCTGCTGAGCAATATAGTAGTAGGTCATGAGTTTGCAATAGTAGATAACAAACCTGGACTTTTTTACTTGAGCAATATAAGCTTAAATTAGGTACAGAGGTCAGTGCCCATCCCTGAACATCACATGCTTATTCAACCCATTGTTTTATGTATTAAATCTATCTGATTGGCCATGCATAAGGATCTTTAGCCAGCTTCTAAATATGTTCTGTTTCCTAAAGGTTTGTAGAACAGACATTGGAATTTGTCTGCAGGTTTTTACAGAGTAACATTAGATCCAGACCTTTGGGCATGAAAAATTTGAAAATTTGCTAAATAGATTTTGAAATAACTATGGGCAGAAGAAAATTGCATACATCAACAAAAATCAGTCGCATCTTTTTTTCCCCCTTCACTACAAAAAATAAAGTATGGGTGGAACTTGATGTCAGTTCATAACGGTGTGATGAAATCCTTAATAAATTGTAAGGATTGATGCACCATTCAGTTACCAGTGAAACCACAAAAGTTTCTTTTATATGAATTTAAACTCTGATTGAGGCACTTAATGCTAATACAGAACTCTAAATATACATGCTTTTGAAGAAAAAGAAATTGGAAAAGGATTTTCAAATTTTTTTCTTCAAAAGCGTGTATATCTAGAGATTTTTGTTTTACATTGATGACGTGATAGGTGCGAGCCATAAGGCAGGTGATGTGACGAGTATAACTTGTTTTAAGAGTGCTGATGGCAGTCTTTATAGTGTACAAGTGATACAGCAGTTCCATAGTATTTAGATTTAGATTTTTTTTTTTTTTTTACTTTGAATTAGTCTTAAAGGGCTGGGGTGGCACGGGTATTAAGGCACACAATTGACAGCCCAGGTGTTGGGTCACAAGTTCGAGACCATAGCAGAAGTGCTCATAGTGTGTCCTGTCAGATTCCAACAAATCTGTGAATTCTGCTAAATCGCTTGTAACAAGGACACAGAAAAAAGGAAAGGAAGTCAGCCTTAAAGTTCTTTGAACTGTGTTTTTAATGTTGAAGTGGAAATTCAGTCTGACTTGCTCTTAAATTAAACTCAAATCCTCTTTTAAATACAAAATGGGAAAACATTTTCTAATGAAGCAATCTTTTCCAGATGAAGGGAATGAAACAGAGGTTCAGCCACAACAAAATAGTCAGCTAATTTGGAAACAAGGGCGGCAGCTGCTGAGACAGTAAGTGTCACAATTAACCTTCAAAGATGGGAGCTAGACCAAAAGGTTTCAATATTGAATCTGACTACTGTATTTTAATATTTCCATCTGATTTTCTTTCCTGAAAAGTCAGTGTGAGCGCTTAACCTTCTCTGGAAGGGCTATTACAGCATAGAAAGTTTTTTAGAAGTGTTGGTAAGTTTCACAGTTTGAAACAAACTGTTTTTGATGGGTGTTGTAGGAAGGTTAACAGGGAAAAGAGGTTAGAGAAATTTTAAAATTTATTTTTCCCTTAAAAAATTTAGCAAAAATTCAAGAGATAAGATTATTCCTTCTAGAACCATATGAAATAAGAACAACTTTTACATTTCAGGTTTTTTCACGTTTACACATTTTTTTTCTAATTTTGACTAACTCTTAACACATCCATGAAACAGTCTTACTTGGTCCATGTCTGAGTCCATCTGTTGTATATACATGGTGTGCAAGTGTGTAAAGCCCAGATCTTAGTGCTACTCACATACCTCCTAGACACCTAAGTTAGTAAATGCAATTATTTTTCATGCTACATAGTTGGACTTGGTTCATTGTGCATGCTCAGAAGCAGTTTCCTATGGGCAGGTATGTGTTGAACTCCCTTCATGTCCTATTGCCATCCAGTTATATCGGAAAAGACACGTTCTGTGTTAAATCCCCAAATCTGCGGTCAAAGAATGTGTATTTTACCCAGAATGTGTATTTTAAACCTATTTTACAGATTCAGGGCTGAGAGATTAAGGGATTTGCACAAGGCTGTGCCACATATCCATATATCTTACTTAGTTACCCTATAAGGTGCATATCTACCTTGTCTTCTGCTTGACTTCAGATTAACTTGATTACCTATCTGCATATCCATGTCAGCCAGCTTTACACTTCGGATATTCTGACTCCAAGGCTCAATGAACCATTTAAGCCTTAGCTGTCACTTCTTTATGTAAATGAGCCAAATTCACATTCTGCATGGATGTTCCAGTTTAACAAAACAGTTGGGTACTACCAAATGTGTATATACATATTTTATCATAAAAACAGTTGTTTGTACTGTCATAACTAGAGTCAGAGTGTAGGAAATTGTCACAGTAGGTATGTACAGGCTTTGTGTAACGGGTATCTAGGGGACAGATTTTAAGTTAGATTTTTTAAATTTTACTTTAGATGTTCATGAAATTCCTATAAAGAACAACATAGCTATACTGTGTATGAAATGGTTTGGGGTTATTTTAAATTAAAAATCATTTACAGTTTATTCATAGTTCTTTTTCTGTCTATCTTGGTAAATGCAATGAATAACGTATTGTATAACCTCTGACTACTAGGCTCTTTGATTTTTTCTCAGTGACTGTACAGGCTGGTACTACAAGAAACGATTCCCTCTGCAGCTGGTACAAGACAATTTATTATAATGTTTCATTAGCACAGCACCATACTTTGCTAAGCATTGTACCGGAGGGGAGTTTAGGGAGAATCTTTTATATAATGATTTAAATAATCATATAGATTACACAGATCTGCATGGAAGTCTAGCATGAGTTCTACTCCTACAGGTATCTACAGGAAGTGGGTTACACGGATACAATACTGGATGTGAAGTCAAAACGTGTGCGAGCTTTGTTGGGCCTTTCGAATGATGCCTCAGACCGAGAAAATAACAAAAACCAAGAGCCAATGGTAAATGGCACAGAGGCCCAGATTAAAGAAAACGTAATGATTGGGTAAGTTCTGGACATGACAAATGTTACCTTTTTAATGTGTGTGTAAATCATTATTTGTTTGTGAAAGATTTTATTCACATGAAAGATTTTTATGACTTTTCTTTTTAGATTCCAAACTGACTGAATATTTCTAGCCAACTTAATTTTTAAACAGTTAAGTATTAACGTGGAAGCCACACTTTAATTATTGAAAATTTCCATAAAGAAGTAATTTATTATTTCAGTTAAGTGACACTAGAGGAGATTAAGACTTTAAGGTTATGTTCTTTAAATGCTGAAAGGAATATGTCAATTGCTGGGCCAACAGAATTTTCCTTTGGCTTGCTAATACTCTCAAAATTGTAATATAGTCTTCGATATTATGGTATAAGATGCCATATATGATGACTAAATAATCTGTATAAGGTGAAGGATTTTACAGCATCTAGAAATGTTTGTAATATGCATAACTAGCTTCCAACTTTTATAAATCCTCAACTTCGCTGCTGACATTTATGTTAATAAATACGTGAGAATGCTGGTAGCTTCCACATGTGCATGCCTGTCACTTTCTTGATATTTCTGATACCATCACAAAGATGGCAGACAGAATAAAATAAAGTGTATGCTTCAGCTATTAAATTGTTTTCCTCTTTCTATAAGAAACTTATTACAGTTAAAATGCTTCTGAAAGCTTGCTTTTAGACATTCCAGCAAAATTAGTTTGTGGCTGCTGATTTAAATACAATAGTTTATAAAGTGATAGATTTAAAGAAAGAGTAAGAGTTTTACTTCAGTAGGCAGCACCATTGCCAACAAGGAGTTTAATCTTTGACTCTGCCTCTTGTTTCAAAAGCAAGTACAGTTTAAATGTAGCAGAGACTGTAGTTCCCACTATATTCCAAGGCACAGTGTTGCTTTGTGACGCTTCCTAATCTGAAGAGAATTCATTACAGTAATCCAAGCCAGTAAAGCAGCTGGTCTGTGTTTAGGAAGATTACCCAATGAACGGGAGCTAATTATATACATCAAGTTAGGTTGTGAGATGGGGAATTTGGGTGCACCCTTCAGGCTGGAAGGGGATGGTATCTGTATTGGGTAAAAAATGGGAGAAGCCTGTCCTTTTTACAGTCAGAGTGGGAATTCCTATGTGTACGTGTTGTCATTTTTAATTTTTCTTTTTTAATTGAAGATGGCTAGAGATAGTGAGGTTATGTGATGGGTGTTTTGCATGGGGAATGGAATTGAGTCAGCAAATTTGTAGAGACCTGTTAAGGCTGAGAGGCGATGACCCTTGGAGCTAATGACAGATAATTTGTCTGGGCTCCTTCATCAAATCAGTTCTGACCTCCATCTAATGGTTATGCATATTGTGGTGTAATACTTCTTCCATGAGCTTTTGTTTTAGGTAGTGCTAGATCTGATATAAATAAAGTTGACATTTTAGATTTGCAGGCTGATTCTGGATGTGGCTGCTCAGTAATATCATGTTTGACTGAATATTGTCATTCTACAAGATTTGCCATTGCAGTCTGATGTTAATGTACGTCCTCTTTGAAGAACTTTTTGTTCTCGGCTCACTTGCGATACACTGCAGAAAGCTGCAGAAAATGTTTAGCTGAGCACCTGAATGTTTGATATGTATGGTACACAACTAAACTTTCTGGTTCAGCTGGTCTATACATCCTAAGCTTTTGCAGTAGAGGAATTTCTAAGTGGAGTTTTCTGACATTTTTTCAATATTGTCTCAGTGCTCACAGTTTATCATGCGTCTCTTGATCTTAGTTCAAACCGGCTGGCTTGTGTTTCTTTGGAAGCAAGGGAAGTCTGGTTTTTACTGAAAGATTGAAGAGAATTTTTTGCAGTGATGAGTGAAAAATTGGTCTTCTGTGTTGTGAATATTTTGGATACTTGTAGTTCAGCCACCATCCTGTGCCTATTGGTGCAGGAGGTATTCCATATGTCTCCAGGCAAAAGACTGCTCATGCCTTTTGGACTAGTGAATACTGCAGAATTTTGTAATTCCTGACTGGTGCTATATGATATCTCACCTTCTGCCTTCTTCTAGCCACATTGTCATTTGCTTACAACAGAGTCAGGTTGGAGACCAGACAACAATGAGGGGAGGAGGTTTGTCATCAGTTGTCTGAGGGGTTTCTGCCCCAGATAAGGTGTTACCCTTTGGTTAGTCCATGTGGATTGTAGGGCCTGTTTGCTTTTGCAACCTCTACTAGAGAGAGCACCTGAGCCAAGTAGATGCTGGAGATTCAGGACAAACAGGATGTGCCAATTCCAGTCCAAATGCTTGCTCAGCCTTTAGAGACTTAACACTGCCAATCCCCACACCCAAGCAGCACAGCCTCTAAGAAGTGAAAATTGTAATATGCCTAAACTTAAGGCAGATGTGGGATGAATTTAAATGCCTATCCCACAGTCCACTGGCCCATAGGGAGGATCAGAGCACTCAGAGAGATGTTCTATTAGTCCCAAACTACTTGCTTCCCCCAAAAGTGGGAAATTGATTCAGCTGTTGTTTCCTTCCCACTTCCACAGTATATGGAGTGTGGATGGAGAATACTAAAGCCAGAATGAACTTGAGCTGGGAGGCACCAGGAGCAGCACTGAACAAGAGGGCATGCCATCATTGCAATAGTAGAAGAAGAGGAGTGGTGCTGTGGCAAAGTAAGAACAAATGAAAATGGCTAGAAGAACAGGCAAGCAATTAAGGCAAATGAGGAAAGAAAAATCTTGTGGGTGGAGAATAAGGGAAGGAGGAAGAGAGACAAACTGGTAGGTACACTTAAAAAAATAAATAGAGAGGGAGTTGCCCCTCTCTTGTGCCATATCTTGCCATACTTGCATTAAAGACCTAGCATTCTGACATTCAGCACCATAGTATTGGCTCTAAGTACTTGCCTTTCCTTAGGGATTGAGGAGCAGCTGGGAATTCTTGGGACTCTGATAGGAGGCAGATGTTCAGCTTGCCCATGTGGGTGGGGAGTAATAAGCAGCATTTCTACTGTAGTGCTAATAGGAAGATAGTTGCTTGCTTCTTTTTTTTTTTACTCTAAAATGCTTAACTCGATCTATGAGGTTCTCAGTACTTCAGAAAGCTGTAATGCTGGCTGGTTTCATCTTCCTAACCACATGAAGTTGGATTTCCAAGAATGGTGTGGTCTACAAGGCTGTTTTCTCTAAGCTCAATACTCGCTTTGTCCTTTTTTCTGACAATAATGCCAGTTTCAAAAACTAAAATTAAGTTAAACCTGCTCTTTCTTAGTTAAAGCAACTTGATCGCTGTGTATTAGTAGCCACTGCGCATATAGCCAGGTACCTGTATTTTGACACGTTTGTATCTGCTAATGTACAGAACCTCATGAAAACTTTAACATTCAAGAGCACCATGTGGATTTGGAGTGTTCCTGGAAGATTTTGATTCCATAGATGAAAACATTATTTTGGTCACTTGACATTTGATTTAATCCTCTTCCTACTTGTCTCATGGTATTTTAAAGGGGATCTATATTCACTTTCTTCAGATCAAGTCACTTGCATTACAAAAGATAAGTACCACTCCTTGGCATGAATGAATTCAGAAATAAATACTAAAAATTAACTTTCTAATAATGTAAAATTCCAAAATGCCTGTAATAGGCAGACAAGGTTATTTGGGTAAATGTGATGTCTTTTATTAGACCAACTGAAAAGTTGGTGGGGGAAAGCCTGCAGTGAGAGGAATGGCTGCTTTTTTTTTCCATTAAATGATGTATGTTGTAAACACAAATGAATGAAAACTGTCTCAACCAAATACAACATGATCTTATGTGATGTGAAAGAATTTTTAATTTAATGCATTAACCTCATTTTTAATTGGTTCCTTCCTTTAATTGAGTCCTGGTCAATCTGTATTAATCTCTGAGGTATTTATTTGATGTGGACAGAAATAGACATCATAATGAAACAAAATGGAAATGGAAAAAGGAATAAAATATATATTACCAAAATAATTTATTATGGTTAGTATTTGATAAAGGGACTCAGAGATTAGAAGCTGTAGTTAAATGGCCAGTGAAAGTTCATTCCAACAGTTTAACATTTTTTAAATTAAAGTGAAAAAAAAAATAAGAAAAATTTAAGGCCAACTGGGTTATACTCAGTCTTCCTTTAAAAATGAACTACTCCTTTTATTGTACTGTTTGATTTTGCTTGCATTTCTTGCACGTAAGAAAAGAAACCTCAGTTAAAAATGTAATGGGTTATGCTCCTACTTCTTATCAAGCTTATAATGAAACGTTTCTTAAGGCTTTAATTTCTAGAGTTAAACAAACCATTCCAATGAAGACTTAAGCAAGTGACCATCATTCTACTTCAAAAACAGATTACCTGAATAACTCTCATGCATCCGTAAATCCTCTTGACACTTACACATTTAATCAAACTGCTCTGTGCCTACTGGCTGATGGATGTATGTAGTGTTGTGCGTCTCCTTGCTTATAAAATGGTTTATTAAAGAAATTAAACCTTTCAAATTTTGGTACTACTGATCTGCAAAAGAAAATAATTTCCAAACCGTGTGTGTATTAGACATGCATAATGAATTAAAAATTGGAAATCTAGTTGAGTTTTTTTTAAAATCACTTCTTTCCCCTCCCCCCCCCTCTTCCTTCCCTTTCTTTATTTATCCTTGGTTGTCTCTTGCCCTGTCCTAAGCAGAGCTACAAAATAAAGTAGGGATTAACAACAAATGCATTTATGCATGGCTTCTACAAGGAACACTGTTGCCCTTGTTCCTTATAGCTGATCTCTGAATAATAATTGAAGTAAAAAGCAACACCTTGCTATGAGACACTTATTCCTTGAAGCCCCATTTTCATTAATCCAGTGGGAAGTGGAGCCAGTGATAGCAGCTTCTCTTTAGAAGCCCCTGGTACAGAACTATGACTTAAGGCTTGCAGCTTGTTCTTGGAAACCTCACACGAGTTTCTTATGGGCTTGGAGGAAGAAGCAGAAAGATATGAAATGGGGGTGAGGAAGGCAGGGAAGACGAGACATTAATAAGGAAGTAACTTTTTGTAAGTTACTCCAAGCGTTCTAGTGGGTTGTTTCTTACAAAGTTTGTTTGATTTGTTGTGATGCAGTGATCTAACTAGTCAAACAGCCTTATCTTTGCATGTATGCTTGGGACATTACATTGTATAGTCTGAAAGTCTCTTCAGTTGGTAAACTTGCAGATTGCATCTAAACCATTTTGTAAGTGTTACTTCCTGGTTTTAGTGTGCATTGCCTGTTTCTTGCATACGGTGTGCTAATTCAAAACAAAACTTTCAAAAAGATTGTGAATACTGTTTGGCCTGTCTAATGTGGTTTTTACCTTGCACATAACTGCGTATGGTGATTACATGTTTTATTTATTTCCATATCTTCAGTTAAGCTGCATAATACAGGGCCTGGATCTCATTGTGTGGTTATAAGAATTTTAATACCATGAGAAGACAGTATTAGATATAATGGCCTCAACCCAGTTTTTGATAGTAAATGAGGACTGAGTCCACAGATACGGTTTGGGAGACTGTATCAGGTACAGTTTGCTAGCACATGCTCCTTCCTTCCTGGGTTATGGCATGAAATGTTTCTAGTGCACTAAAGAGTCTTCTGTTTTGATCCCCTAGAAATACATATTTTTTTGGTTAGGTTAAAGTGAGCCCTTTCTTTAACGGTTATGTTGTGGATTTTCTTTCTTCTTCTGTAATTTTATCAATAAAATCTGATTTTAAGACGATCTGTCTTTTGGTATTGGATACTAATTGTTAGATTAGTTGCTCGCAACCTAACACTTCATGGTCTTCCTTCCCACCACGAAAAGAAACTGATGGCTTTGTGACATTGTGTCTCAAGAGAAGTTTATAGTGTACTAATTTTGGGGAAGGACAGGAAGTCTTCCAAGAGCTAAGGTGGGCAAATAGAAAGACAAATAAATGGAAAAATCTGAGGTGTGATTACAAAGACAATATTTATCTTCAGCATCCGTTTAAGATATTTGAATTTAAATTTATTATGTATTATGAAATCATATTAGAGAAGCAAAGGAAAGTATCTGCAGTATGCCGTCTCAGTAGCATCACCTTTTAACATGCAGAAGTGAGTGTTACCCTATAACTTCCATGTTTTTCACAGTTCAAACCTGGATCTATGTGGCTTCTAAAATTTTAGACCTTGAGAGCCTTTTTGTGTTGGTAACTTTTTGAGTTACTTTTTGAACTAAAAAGATCCTAAACCAATTAATTTTTTTTTTCTTTAATCTGGAGCCATGTAGTTTTATACAGCAGTTTGAAACAGGAAATGAAGGTTTAGCTGACTAGTCTGGTGCTATCCAGTAAGGCTAAGTGTAGGCTATGCTACGTATGAATGCTATGTATGGAGTACTGAGAGGTCAGAATTGGGGAGATGATAAATTGTCTATTAGCCTAAGTAGGATTTAAACCTGTTCCAAATCTGAAATTATTAAAGCAGCATATGAAATACAACTCAGAAGAAATCTTTCAGTTTAGTCATATCTGCAGTAGATCCAGGGGGCTACCTGGCTCTGAAGGAGAAAAGTATTCATGCAATACTAGGCCATGGTATAATTTTAAAGGAAAAAAGTCAGCGAAAGTAGTTGGAAGACATGGCCCCAGCCAGGCCTCATATTCACTTCTTTGCCATAGTGCAGCAGTTCCCTATTTTTTTGGCTGCCTCTGTCATTCTTTTGTATCAACTTTGCATCTTTCTCAAGACTTCACTTCACACGTCAACCTCGGCTTTCAACTTCTGGTTTCATTTTTGCAACTACTTACAACTTCTTTTCCGCCTAGTATTCTAGTATAACAGGTAAGGGTTTTTTTTTTTGGTGTGAATTACAAGTGATTTCAGGTACTCCTGCCAATTTCTTGGCTTTTACAATCGCCTATTTAGATTAAATGTTCTTTTCCTGTTGCTATATGAAAGATCCATACCAACAGCAAAGTATAATCCTGTGACTGTAAAAGTTACTGTCCTTAAAGTGTTATCAAATGCACAAAGACACACTATTTTTTCTCAAAAATGCTAACTGAAATATAGGAAGACAGGGTTCTTTAGGTGAATCTGATATCTTTTATTAGACCAACTTAAATAGTTGGAAAAAATTTTAAGCAAGTTTTCAGGTTTAAAAACCCTTCGTCAGACTGAGGAAGTCTCTGCTGTTGGTGTGTGCTCATCCAGGAAGAGCACACACCAACTGCAGACTTCCTCAGCCTGACAAAGGATTTTTAAACCCGAAAGCTTGCTTAAAATTGTTTTCCAACTATTTAAGTTGGTCTAATAAAAGATATCAGATTCACCCAAAGAACCTTGTCAGCCTATGTCCTCAGACCAACACGGCTACAACCTACACCCCTACAACTGAAATATATTAAGCTGTAACAGTAACAGTAGGAAAAAAATGTGATTACCAATAGAGAGAGAACTTTGGGTATTAGCTGTAGGAGTTGCAGGCAGATTGCTCGATGGTTTGGCCATTTAGGTTTCATGTTTCCTTCCTCTGCAGAACTTCTGTCATTTGTCTCTACCTGTTCTTTTGCTTTTCTACCAAAAACTTTGGAGTTCTGTCCCAGTATGAGTCTGTCTGAAGTCTGTCTGACTTTGGTACAGATTCTTGTTCCATGTAGGGCTCATAAATTGGTTGCATTTATTCCTTTATTATTGCTTTAACTGTATGCTTACCAACATTACTTTGTCTGCTTGGATTCTTCTTCAGCTGTTGACATAGCAACCCTTATCGTTTCTGCTTTAGAGACGCTTGGAATTTCTGCTAAAACTGAAAAAGCAACATTTGTAAAAGATATGTTTTACAGAATTAAACATTTGCTTTCCATTAAATGTATTTTACAGGAACAAATTCAGCACTTTTCAAATGTGCCTGATTGACAGGCTTGGAGACTGGCATATTTTGTTCCCTAGTAAGATGGAAGGACATAAATAACAGTGAAGTCTTACTGTACCTCTGTGTGTATGTGAAGTTAGATTAGTATCCTTGGTTTATTCTACCCTGGTCCTCTCTACTGCAGTTGCCAACCAAGTGTGCTTGTTTTGAAACTGGTTTGTCATCTGCGTCTTTGTCAGATGGAAGCTACTTTAAAATACATCAAAAACTGAAGCAGCTGAGTTGGGAATTGCAGCTAAGCATGGTATAATTAGAGGGTGTAATAAAATAACCTACAGTTAATATTACATTGTTTTGCCCACAAACATAATTATATATAATCATTGTCCAATTTTACCAACTGACTTATTTTTATCCTGTGGGTTCTTGGTCACTAAAAAGCAAAACAGATGAATGCAAGAAAGACTTTGTAGATGATCATTATTCTTTTTTTTTTGTTGTTTTCTTGTTACCAGAAAACCAGAATTGACCGACTCTGCCTCTCTGCTAGAGACTTTCAAGTTTCTTGAAAATGCAGCAGCAGAATTCAGTGATGAAGATGAGGAAGAAGACATTGAAGGAAGAGAGAAAACAATCATTGATACTTCAACGGTAGGTCAAAAAATCCAATTGAAAAACTTGTGGTGAATTGATAAGAGCTTAATGTGATCCCTTACAGCTGCACATTTGCATGATGTACATCCCCAAATGTGTATGTATCGGCAAATGGTTAAATGCACTCACATCTGACTGTCTAGTTGGTAATATGAGAACAGGGGCATAACAAATGAATTCTATTTATTTATGCCTAATGGGTAAGCTTGCTTCCTCAAAACGTGAAAATTGTCCCTAACACCCAAATTCAGCTCCCCCATTTGTTTGTTGCATGTATGGCTTTTAGAGTGAGAGGACAAAATAACTTATAAAACAGGAGAATGAACAAGAGAACAAAACAAATTAAAGGAGAAATTTGGGCATCGGCATAAAACAGAACCCGTCAAACCAATATCCCAGCCTACCTTTGGTTGCTAAATGCAACCAGAATAGATTAATAGATTCATAGATGTTAGGGTCGGAAGGGACCTCAATAGATCATCGAGTCCGACCCCCTGCCTAGGCAGGAGAGAGTGCTGGGTTTAGATGACCCCGGCTAGATGCCTATCTAACATGTCCAGGTTCAGGCTCTGGTGGACCTCAAGAAAGAGGGATTTCTAGAGTTAAGGAGCAACTGGTGAAAATAATTTCCCACATCTTTTCATCAAGCCGACTCACCGCATTAATGGCACTTGCAAGAAATTGCTCTCGGCTCTCTTCAGAGATCACAATGGGACATGAGAGAGAAGCTGGTCCTTTTAGATATGTAGGGTCCAGACTGATTAGGGCCTTATGAGTCAAAACCAGCACCTTGAATTTTACTTGAAAAGCTTTTGGTGTCCAATGCAGACTCTGGAGCATATGAAGTTGTGCTCCTGGCAACCCAACCCTGTCAAAAGGGAGATCACTGTATTTTGCACCAGCTGCATCTTTCAGATAGTCTTCAAGGACAGTCCCATGTAGAGCACGTTGCATGGATGTTTGTTGCCAGAGCTGAATCTAGAAAAAAAAAAAGATCAGTCTTCTCACCCCATGAAGCTGATGGAAGATATTCTTAGCACTAATGGCACCTAAACTTCCATCCAGGTGCAGCAGAGGATACAGGGGCTCCCCAAGACTGCAAATGTGAGTGACAAGGGGAAGCTGAAAAGCCTCTCTGAAAGGTGCTCAATCTCCTGCCAAGTTGTGCAATCCGCCTACCACCATCTGTCTTGTCTGGTTTCAGTTTTGACTGAAACTGAAACCAAATCATCCACATCCAATGCCCATGTGTATCTAGACACTCGGAAGAGACTGAGACTGTGGGGCCTGGGTCAGATGAGGAAGAAAAGCAGAGCTGGGTGTCATCAGCTTACTGATGGCACCTCCCTCCAAATCTCTGAATAGTCTTGCCCAGCAGCTTTATATACACATTGAACAGAAAGGGAGATGCAGTGGAGCCCTGGGGGATTCCAAAGTGACTCCATCACTAACTTCCAGGACCTCCCTGCTAAGAAAAAGCATAATCACTTTAGAGTTGACCTGTGAATGCCCACCAGATCATGTAAAGATTTTATTAACACCTCCTAGCCAACTTGAGGCTGGTAAGTAGTACTTATTCATTTAAAGTCAGCTGTGTAAGCATGCTCAAAGATCTGAGAAGGCACACTACTGGGTACAGATTCCTGAAGCATTGGTTGCAAAAAACAATTGTAAACCATGGCAAAAACCGAAATGAGTGACTGTGAGGGAGAGGGAGACTCAGGTTCTTTGCCTCCTTAGCCAGAGTGGCATTTGAACCGACATCTTCTACTTTCCATGAGTTTCATAGATTTCATAGATTTTCAAAGACATTAGGTCTGGAAGGGACCTCAGAAGATCATCGAGTTCAGCCCCCTGCCCCAGGGGCAGGAAGTCAGCTGAGGTCACAGGATCCCAGCAAGATAAATGTCCAATTGACTGTCAAAGGAATCCAGAGTAGGTGCTTGCACCACCTGTGGCGGCAATCTGTTCCAGGCCTTGGGGGCTCGGACTGTAAAGAAATTCTTCCTTATGTCCAGCCTGAAATGGGCTTGGAGAAGTTTGTGACTGTTTGACCTTGTCATCCCACCTTGTAGGGAGGCAGTTAGACGGGCCAAAGCTACCATGGAGCTGAGGATGGCATCCCAAGTAAAGGATAACAAGAAATTGTTTTTTAGATATATAGGGAGTAAAAGGAAGGCCAAGGGAGGAATTAGAACCCCTACTAAATGGGCAGAAGCAATTGGTGACGGACAGGGGGGACAAGGCTGAACTCCTCACCGAGTTCTTTGCCTCAGTGTTCCTAAGTGAGGGGCAAGACAAGTCTCTCACTGGGATTGTAGAGGCAGCAGCAAGGCGCCAGACTGCCATGTGTAGACCCTGAGATGGTGCAGAGTCACTTGGAAGAACTGGATGCCTTTAAGTCGGCAGGCCCGGATGAGCTCTACCTGAGGGTACTGAAGGCACTGGCCGACGTCATTGCACAGCCACTGGTGGGAATATTTGAACGCTCGTGGCGCATGGGCCAAGTCCC